GCGTGTGCGTGTGCGTGTGCGTGTGCGTGTGCGTGTGCGTGTGCGTGTGCGTGCGTACAGAAGGGTCATCAAGCATGCGCAGAAGCGAGTCGAGTCCCAGGTCTCCCATAACAGCACCCAAGAGGAAGGCTCCCGTTTCTCTGTCGCCACCCACCACGTTTAGTAGTGCGCCAGTGTGCACCAATGACACACACGACACGCAACCCGCAACACGCACACGCACACGCACACAGTCAACACAAAGCAACCTGACACAACACGCACAGGCAGATCTGTCGATACCTGATAGGCACGGGTTGATCGGGTTTAACGAACGATGTGAGCAGATTGAGCATTGCAGTCTCCTCCACATCGGTCCACGTCGTCCCAAGTAGGACCAGACACTGCTTGGCCACCTCACGCCGCCGGTTGCGCAGCGTGCTGGCACCGGAGCCGCCGTCCAGCCAACTCGCCCCTTGGCCATTGTGCCTGGCATGTGCTTGAACCACTACCACACATGCGTGTCAGTGCGTGTGTGTGTCGCGTGCGTCGTGTTTGTGTGTTGTGTGTTGTGTATGACACCTGGATCGGCCGCGATCACATCGAGCATGGCGTGTTGCACATCGGCTGGCAGCTGCGCCAGTTGGTTGCGCCATCGGTCCGACAACACGACGAACCGCGCGCACTGGTCGAACAAGCTCGCCACGCCCCCGTCGTAATACTGCGCGTGCCGCACCAACACCTTGTAGAGCCTGCAGAAAAATAAATTAAAAAAAGAAAGGTGTCAAAAATAATAATAATAATAATAATAAAGCAAGGCTAGTGCGTGGCAAGGCCGGACGTACCTGTCGAGGGTGGTGCTGATGTTCGATTCGTTCCAGAATCTTGAGTGAGTTGGCGTGCACGCCCGATCCACCTTCCAGCCACAGTAAAATAGGTTCATCGCGCTTGTGACGAGCTCCTCGTCCGTCGACCCCTGGACACCGCGAATGTAAACTAACATCTGACACGACACACACGACACACACGACACACACACGGAGGTACCTCCATGATGGCCAGAGTCGTGTGGACGAGGCTATGGTGTGCGGGCGTCGGCACGACCCTCACATTCACTCGATTGGCTATGTCACACAGGTGCTCGCAGATTTTGCACAGAGACCGAAGGAACTCCACGCTCAACCGGGCCAGCTGTGGCTCCATGGCGCTCGCACTGCACGCTTGCAAGAACCGCTACACAACCACCGCACACGCACGCGCCACCGCACACGCACATGCGCCACCGCACATAGGTGAGTAGTTGTATGGGAGTGGCTGCGGACGCGGGCGGGGCACCTCGAAATAGGCCTCGAGCAGGGGGCGCGAGAACTGGGCAAGGGACGGGATGGCCAAGAAGGTGCGCTGGCTCAGCACCAGCCGCTTCGTGGCCCAGTCGTCGTGCCTGTCCAACAGGCCCAACACCTTCTTGCAGAGGCCCGCGTACGTGTTGTTGCTCCCGACGCCGCCGACGCCGCCGCCGTCTCCTGCGCTCTTCTTCCCTTTGGAGTCCTGCAGCCGCTTGCTGCCCAGCCACAGCTCCACCCCGACTGAATTGTGTTCATTCATTGTTGTGCGGCCCCGCTCAGGCTTGTCAGCAGTTGTCCAGGCCGCACACACTCGCATTTGGAAAGCAGAGAGAGAGAGAGAAAGCAGTACCGGCGGCCATGTCGCTGTGTGGGTGCTCAAGCAGGTCACTCACGACGTCCCCTATCTTATACCCTGCGCGATGTGGGCATTTGCGTGCTGTGTGTGTCAGGTGGATGGAGCACTGTGGTCGGTGACAACAAAAGGGCTGGCAGTGGCGCACCGAGTAGGACGACGTCGCTGTCTTCGAAGAACCTCGCCACGGCGGTGGCCAGCTCCCTCACTCCCGCCTCCTCCCCTTCTGCACCAATTTTTTTACACCTTATTATGCCTTCTTTATCATCTGTGCATTTGTATTTTATTATCATTATTATTATTGCATTCCTAATTTTTATTTTATTTTTGCGTTACTTTAATTTTAATTACAATTCATTGTGAAGTGCGGGGCTGTAGGGGGGGGGTACGTAGGGCAGTGGATATGCGTTCCAGCACACGTTTGCGCAGGGCCGTGGCGGAGGGCGCGCCACTCGTGGCACCACCGTTCATTTGCGCGAGCGTGCCCAGGTCAAAGGAGGTGCAGGCGGTGGTGGACGTCGCGGCATCGGCGCACCAGGCGCTCAGCATCTTGTCGAAGACCGAGCTATCGTTCAAGGCCCTCCTCGTCGCCGCTCGGCTCCTCCGCGTAAGCTGGGCCACTTGGTGGTTGCCCCACCTTGCTGCCGCGCTGTGCATAACAATGAAGATATCATTTTTTTGGTGAACACAACATGTGAAAAAGAATGGAAGACAAGGCGAGGTTCGAGAGCGAACGTGTAGCGGTGCGTGGTGGATAAATAATGTATTGCATTGTTTTGTCGTGTCTTGCCGTGCGGTGTGTGCGCACCATCGCACACAAACACACACACACAGTGGAGGGTTCGTTCGATCGTCGATCGTCGTCGGTCGTCCGTTGTTGTTGTTGTTCTGCTTCTTCTTCAGGCAGTGAACACAAAGCGCTGGAGGAAGAGGAAGGTGGCCCAGAACTCGAGTGCGCCCAGGGTGAGGCCTCCCATCACATCTGTTAGGAAATGCCTGCCCAGCGCTAGCCTCGACACCGCCACCAGCGCCGCCCAGCACATCACTGAGCGCCCACCACATCACCGCAGCAGGAGTCAGTCGTGGGAGTCGGGCAGAGAGATAAGCTGCAACCTCTTCCTGAGATGAGGAAGGAGAACGAGTCGAGAAGGAAAAAGAGTGTAAGTGACAGAAGGAGAGGGTACCGCCAGCGGCGCGCCACGGGCTTTGCCAACCGAACACGAAGATGGACACGTGGGCCAGGAGCATCGCGCGAGAGCTGTGCCCGGACGGGAACGAGAAAATGTCCGGACCCACAAAGAGGCCGCCCTGGTGCACGTGCCACACGCGACAATAACAACGCGCACAGGATTACTAGTTGTTCTTTGATTTGATTAATTCATCAAATCAATTAAGAAAAGCTTGATTATTGATGGCTTAGTGCCAGAGGTTGTTGAATATATGCTTTAAAAAATAAACCGAAATAATAATCGTGCGTAGAAGAAGGTACCTTGTTGTAGGAGGGTCGCGTTCGCTTGGTGAGGAACTTGATGCCACCAGTGAGGAGGATGTCGACGAAGAGCATGATGTAGAGGTACTTGACCTTGGCAACAGACGCAGGGTCGAGGTAGAAGAAGGAGAGGAGGATGAAGAGGGGCGAGAGCGCGACCCACACCCAGCCCTCGTTGGACCACGCGATGATCTCCCAGCACACCTTGATGAAGAGCAGCTTGGTCTCTTGTCGCCTCTCTGCCGCTGCTGCGGCCAAGCTTTGCACGTCCTTCGCCAATTCCTGTTCTCGTAGTGCCATGACGCGCGGTGAAGGCAGCTGCTGCTCGATGATGGCCGCTAGAGTCGATTTGTTGTTATTTTCTTCCCTTCCATTCTTGATGCTGGTGGCTGCCTTGGGCGATGCTGCTGGCGGCTGCTTTCCGATTCGGCTGTGCTGCTGATTTGGCTGCGTGCGCGGCTCGATCTTCGGGCTCGTCTTTCGTGGCAGCTTGTCCTTGTGGACGGGCTGCCCGCCCGATAGGAGGTGGTAGAGAAAGGCAGAGTGCTGTCGATCCCACTCCATCTCTGTGTGTTCTCTATCTCTCGAGAGTTGTGTTTTGGGCTGATGGGTCCGCTACTCGACCTATCCGATTCGCAGAGCCAAGAGAGAAGAGCCAAGAGAGATTGTAGGGGAATGATTGAATGGAGAGAGAGATGGGGCCAGGTGTGCAGCGGGACTATCTTCTTGGAACTCTGGCTCGGTGCTGGTGAATCGACGATCGAATCTGCGCTCTCTCTTGACACGCCCCAGCAGAAAACCCCTGTACACCGCTATCTCCCTCCGTCTCGCTCCCTTTCCCTCTGCTTTTCCCTCCGCCAACGCCCATTTCGCGTAATTATTATTTGTAACCTTAAGGTGGCGCATGACTGCTGTGGGACCTTTGGGAACGACACCCTGCACGTGCCCACCTGCCCTCTGTGGTACCCTGTTGTGCACTGGTAGTGATTGTCTTGCTCCCCTGTGGGCTCTCTGCCCTAGTGTGCAGCGGCAGGTCTCCACTGGTGGGGCCTTGATCGCCAAGTTTTTTGAATGCTTCCCTACAATCTGCTCAAGAAGAGGAGGCGCACAACAGCCGAGGAGCCGAGGTGGGCGGAGGACAGCGCACCAACCTCAAACGGGCTTTGCGGCCTCTTCAAGCCCGAGTGACAAGGCCGAGCCCATGACTTTTCGCGGTAGTTCCGCCTGAACCGACTTTGCGAGCCAATCACTATTCAAACAGTCATGGCCGTCAGAGCTACATCGGTCCCTTGGTCCACCTTTCTCTCGTGGCCGCAGAGAACCAAAGGAAAGGGAAGCGGATGGCCTCTACGGCCGCACCTTACCCAGACGTCACACCCGTCCCCCTTCCCGTTTTTTTTCGGGCGCTACTTCAGCTACCGCAGTCGGAGAGACACCTATAAGCCACCACGACCTGCCAGACCACACACCACCGCACCAGCACCGCACGCTAGCACTTGCACTTGGGCTCGAGCCTGACCAGCCCGCCCGCCCAACAGACGCGCCACATCACACGAGGAGAAGACTTCTTTGTCGACACACACTCCGCCTCCGCCGTCCGACAACCTGGGATCTGGCCCGTCGGTTGCCAAGAGCCCAACTCGCCCAGCCCGCTACGTGGTAATCAACAGAGCCCAAACTCGCACCGATTCGTTATTCGTTCTACTCCGGTGCCGTGGCCGGAAACTCCTTCTTCCTCTCCTTTCTTCTCCACACTTCGCTCGCCAGTCGTCGCAGTGCTGAAGAAGTATAGCGCACAAGCTATCTTTGGCTTCGAACAGACCTCACTCCCGGGACACACAAGATGGGAAACTGCAGCACCGCACAGCGCTCGGGCGACCTCCGCCTGGTCACGGCCTCGGTCCAGGTGCTCGAGCTCAGCTCCGCCGACCCGAAGGCCCCGGAGCCGGCGTCATCGTCTTCTTCAACGACCACTACTTCTACACAGCAGCAGACCACCTGCCTCTTCCGCAAGAAGTTCTTCGCTTCATCTCCGGCGTCGGTCCACGCTCCGCCGCCCTCGCCTTGGCTCAAGAAGGTGGCCTCCTTCTCAACGTCGACTGAACTGTGCGAGACCAAGCCCGACGCCACGTCATCGTCTTCCTCCACTTCGTCATCGACGACCGCCACTTCTTCGACCACTCACCCGAGCCAGCAGACCACCACTACGACGACGGAGATCGTGCTGGCGTCGCCGCTGCCGCACAGCCGGTTCTGCAAGCGGCTCCGGATGCGCCGTACGCCCGACTGGGAGCGCGTGGTGCTACCGCTGGTAACGCCCGGAGCGCGGCTCAAGGTGATGTACGACCCGGCCACCCTCATGATCCACGTCCTCGAGCGCGACGACTCCGCCGGAGGCACCCCGGTCCGATGATCGGAGCAGCTGCATCAGTTTTTGGCGTTTCTTTCTTGATACTCCAAGAATGTTTCTCGGTTTTTTAGTCAAACATTTCTGATGTTTATTGTCACATAATTTTGTAATTTTTATTATTTGGGTGCCCGTGTACAGCCAAGCTATGTTTACGAATATTGATTGTAAATAAACAGTAATAATGTGCAAGAAGATTGATTGTGTGCAATTAAATGTCGTCACACATGTTCCACATTGACACTACTCGAGGAGATTGCAGAAGACAGGGAAGTTGTTGATGAGGTAGGCTGTGGCGTGGATGGAGTCCTGGAAGCGAAGCTGCTCAAGGTTGGAGAGGGTGACCATCTCCTTGCCCTTGAAGATGATGGGTGCGAACGGGATGGCCAGGTGGCCCGACGGCATCTGGGTATGGTCGGCGTTGGCCGCCACTGTGTGGAGGATCGAGAACAGGATCCGCAGGCACTGCTTGTTCTCCATCGGCAGGTCACGCATCATGTTGGCCATCGCAACACCCTTCTCCAGCGCCGGAAGTGGCTCTACACGATTATAACCGTACCATGCGTTAACTTGTGTGTGTGTGTGTGTGCGCACACACACGCACACACGCACACACGCACACACGCACACACGCACACACGCACACACGCACACACGCACACACGCACACACGCACACACGCACACACGCACACACGCACACACGCACACACGCACACACGCACACACGCACAAGAGGAGTCGTACTGAGGAGAAGCTCGATGAGCTTGGGTTGAAGTTCAAGGGGAATGAAGGGCTCCGAGCGGCGCAGGATGCGCTTTGTCGCAGAAGCCACCTCCAGCGGCCGCTCCAGGCTCTCCAGGCTTGTTTCTGCGGGAAGGCACATATGTGAGAAGGTGAGTGAGAGGACAGAGCGGGAGCATGAGATGTCATGGAGACCGAAAGAAGATGAGCCACACGTACTGCCCTCCAAGAACTCTTTGTCGACTTCGGTGACGATGCTGATATCACCCTCGGAGCGGAAGATGTTTGTGCATTGGTAGAAGTCCTCTGTTTTGTTTAAGCGTTAGGACGTTTTGAAGATGATAATCTCGTTGACGTCACGCAGCACAGCAGGCCAGGAACAAGGTACCTTGCTGAAACACGATCTCGAGCTTCTTCAAGTACTCCAAAGTCCAATCGAGTCCGATGTTGTGCTCTCCGTCCACGTTTGCCTGGGGTGGACACAATATGATGACGTTGTGTGAGCATCTGCTGGCTGCCTGCTCTCTTACAAAGCAAGACATGAGGCAGTCGGCGTACGAGGTAGTTGTATTTGCCGATCCGGAACCGCTTGGACGGCTTGCGTGTGAGAACGTGGCTGGTTGATGAGGGCTTCGATCGCAGCAACGTGAACAGCATTTTGTCCCGCTGCTGCCAACTCTGCACCAGTCGCAGCAAACACAAGAGAGATCAGAAATGAACAGCCAAGATATATGAACGCTGCACTCAAGAACGCGAAAAGTTTACCTCGTCAATCGCCTGCGTGTGTGCGACATGACGACACATGCATAGCAGCGAACGAAGTAGTAAGTCGAGAGAACAGCAACACAGAGGCTTGCTCAATGAACCCGCGAAATGCAGTAACATACCCGTTCAGGATGGGCAGTATCAACAACGATGAGCTGCGTGTCGGATCCGATCTCGCTCAGCCACTTGGCCATGTCCTTGGACTTGGTGAAGTCCTGGCTGAACGTGTAGAGGAAGGTGCGGTAGATCTTCTTGTTCTTCTTGTTCTTCTTGTTGTGCTCGCCGACGTAAGACTGCCACTGTGCTCGTCGCTGCTTGTCCGCCACAGTATCGTGACCGTCTGCTCGTGCACACATTTACAACGCACGCACGCGCACACACGCACACACACATGCACACACGCACACACGCACAACCGTTAGAGAATCGTCATTGGGAAACAAAAAAGACAGACACTGAGTTGGGAAGCGTCACATACCTGTGAACAGATGGAGGATGACGTCCTTCTCCATCTTCTGTTCCTCAGGAGTGAGCTTGAGGTCGATCCACTTCTGAATCTCCTCCTCGCAGAACTCGAGGGCGGCCATCAGTGCCGTGTGCTTCTTGTGCTTGAGCGTGCGCAGCTGTTCCTGAAACACGCCTCTCTGTCTGTCCTCATCTCCGATCGGCACTACGCGGTATGCATCACAACAACATCAAAGCCAACTTCTTGTCAAACACCAAGCGCATGAGGTCTTCATATGACAAAACCACGACACACACGACACACACGACACACACGACACACACGACACACACGACACAAGGATGAGGCCTACTTGCACGTACCCAGCATCTTCACTTTCTCATGGAACTTGATGAGACAGATCTTCCTCTTGGCAATGTAGTAGTGAGGCATCTCCTTCTCCAGCCGTTGGCTCTGCTGCTCGTGCTTCTTGCGCAGGTTCGATTCCGACCTTCGCCAAGAGGGTAAGTAGTACGTAGCAGTAGCAGTAGAAGAAGAACGGAAGTGGAGAAGCGTACGGGGCCATGATCTCTTTGGCGGTGTCGAGCTTGGACTTGCCGAAGATGCCCAGCGGCCCCGCGCGAGGTGAGAACCACATTGATGAACTGACGTCCACGCAGTAGACGTCAAGTAGCAGCAGTGGGAATCGCGGCGGCTCGCCGTCCAGAGACGAGTAGGTCCTGTACGCCAACTGCACAGACCCGAACGATAGCGCGCTGCTGCCACCACCTCCGCTACTCGTCTGGTCCAGATCGAGCATGGGTTCAGCAACGTCGCGCCATCGCACCTCCTTGCCAACAAGGCTAGCACTGGTGCTGCTGCCGCTAGGGACTAGGCGGGCAGGGTGGTCGAAGACGCATGTAGTACGTCGAGCGTCGCTGAGGAGGGTGGTGCCCCCTGCACGAGGCGCGATGTACGTGAGCGGGCGAGGCTGTGGCTGCGGCACGGGCACGGTGGCCGAACGCTGGCGCTGTAGAGGTGAATCATCTACGTGGCGAGCAGAGGAAGATGAAGATGATGAAGATGAAGATGAAGCGCAAGATGATGAGAGCGTAGTGCGCGTAGACACCGCGGAGGCCGAAGTAGAGAGTCGGCGGGGTGGCGGGAGCGGAGGCGGGTGGCGCTTGTATGTAGCGCTGGGGGTGGGCGGAGGGGGGCGCGAGGGGAAGCCGAGGGCAGCGAGCGATGGATGACAGGGGACGGGCAAGGGCGGGAGAGGAGGAGGACAACCTACTGCCGTCGCCATGTCGGGGCTCTGGTCGTGACCCTCTAGCTGGTCCTCATGCATAGGAGACGTAGCATGCGACATGGCTGCAGCAAAAATGTGAGCACGTTGTAGGACGTTTGCAGGTACGAGAGAACGTACCTGTGCTACTCAATCGTGCTAGATGAAGGTTAAATGTGGGGGGAAGGCGGAAGGATGAAGAGTTTCGAGAGCTGAAAGGAGAGTGCCGGCCAGGCTAGAGTTCTGGTCTTGGCTTTGTGTGCGTTCTCTCCTTGCCGCAAGCGTGGGCGCGTGATGACCCAAGCCACCCATGTCGCGCATGGACAGCTCTGAAAGTTCTCGCAGTTGCCCCACCTCAAGGCTACTAAAAAGAAAAAGACTGAGAAACAGAAACAAGATGGAGACGGTAGTGGTCAAGACCCTCACCGGCAAGACCCTCAACATAGAGGTGGACTGCGCCACGACGACGGTCCGGGAGCTCAAGGAGCTGGTGCAGGACCGCGAGGGCATCCCGCCCGACCGCCAGCGCATGATAACCGCCGGCCGCGCCATGTCCGAGGACGACTGGCCTCTGGCCGCCTACGGCCTGCGCCACTGGTCTACAGTCCACCTGGTCTTGCGCCTGCGTGGTGCCCCCGCCAGCCTCTTTCTCGACCCGCCGCACGCGTCGGCCGTGCCCTGGCCTTGTACGCACCTAGGGGCCAGCTTCACTGAGCTCTTTGCATTTTTTTATGACGGTGTGCGTTGCGTCGTGCGTGTGCGGTTGTGCGATCGCGCGCGTGCAGCCAAGGAGGAGATGGATAGGTTCATGAAGTGCGAATGGGCGGAGCTCGTGGCTCGCGGAGGCGAAGAGGGCATCCACGCGCTGCGTCCGCCCAGCGAAACCGATTGCTCGTTCCTCGCCTTCATCGAAGGACCGGCAGGCAGCCTCTACGAAGGTACTACAACGAATCGTGTGGTGTGTGTCGTGTGGCGTGTGGCGTGTGTGGTCGTGTGTGGTCGTGTGTGTGTGTCGTGTGTGTCGTGTGTCGTGTCGTGTGTGGTGTGTGGTGTGTGCGCGTGCGTGCGGGTGTGTCGTGCTATGCGCCACCAACACTAATGGGTCGGGGTGCAGGAGGCGAGTTTGTGGTCCGGGTGGGCCTCGCCTCGGCTCCTCTGGTGCGCGTGCTCACGCCCCTCTTCCACCCCGCCGTGGCGACCAACGGCCAGATCGCCCTGTTGGACGGTTCGCCTTCACACACACACAACACACACACACAACACACACAACACACACACAACACACACACACCCAATACAACACGATGGGCTACCATCAGCTCTCTCGCGCTCATCCAGCACTGGCTGTGCGCTGCTGTGCGCGGGCCTCAGGCACAGGCAAAGGGTTCGTCCCCTGGCGAGGGGCGGGACTCCCTCTTCTCCGGGCCCTGCGCGCGCAGCTGCTGGTGACCGACATCGGCCCGGAGCGGGAGGCGGCGCTGGCCCGCGACCCGCTCGTGCGGCTGACGCAGTGCAATGACTGGGGTCCTGAGATGCCGCAGAGGCGCCTCCGAGCGGAGAGGCGCGCGCGGGTGACGACGGCCCTGTGCGCGATGACCGATCACGACCGGCGGACCACTTCAGCCTGGCTCGCCCACTTCATTCCTCACTCCCCACAGGTCTGTTACTGTGTGCGTGCGGTGGTGAGTGCGTGTGTGCGTGTGCGGTTTTTGGCTGACGGGGTTTGTGTGCACAAGTTGTGCGGGGAGGTCAAGGCGCTTCTGCTGGTCACGGCCAAGCACGAGCAGACCGGGGAACCGCTCCACCCCGAGGCCGGGCTGGTTGGGTGCCTGCCCGCCGAGCTGGTGCGCATGGTGGTGCACCACCTGGCCCTCGCCCACGTCGCCCAGGAGCGGACCCAGCTCGTCGGCCGCCACCACCAAGGCGCCGCCCCCGAGTCCGAGTGGCTGCCCACAAAGTGGAGGTCCCCACCAGCATTATGATGAGTACTTTCTTGATGTGTTGCTATTTGCAATTGCTGGGCCAGATGGGGCCACCAGGTGGGGGCCAAAGTGTGCATGGTCACCACAACTTGACCCTGGAACAGCTACCTCACCAGTGTGGGGAGTGAGCCAAGCAGAGCAGCAGGAAAGATAACCACTAAGAGCAAAATGTAAATGAGTTTTTTAACTCCTTATGTGAACAATATGTTTTCAAAGTGTCTCAACGTATTTACATTGCGTATGAATGATCATAGAGCTCAAAACCAGAAGGAGACGATACCGTCCTTCTTCTTCTGGGCCAGGGCGTCGTCGTTGTCGTCGCTGCTGCCGCTACTGCTGGCCTGTTGCTTCTGGGGTGCACCAGCGGAGGCCGCCGAGTCATCGCTGTCGCCGCTCAACTGGTCCTCGCTCACGCTCCGCACGTTGGTGGGCCAGCGCCGTGGCACCGCGATCCTGTTGGCCGCTGTCGGCGTCGCCGTCGTTGCATCGTCGCCCTGCGCCAGCTTCTTGCTGTTGGCCGACGCCGATGCCGATGCCGCCGTGGCGCTGGGCTTCATCTTCACCAGCTTGCCCTTGATCACGTAGACCTCTTCGTCATCGTCGTCGCCTTCGTCTGAAGGCTCGGCCTTGGCGTTGCCTCCGCCGGTGCTGTCGCTCGCCAAGTGTTGTTGCTGGCCGACATCGCCCTCGCTCTCCCTTGGCCGGTTGGCGCCGCGGTCCGTGTTGGCCGCCGCCGCCGTCGCTGCCGCCATCGCTACGGTCGAGTCGCGCGATGGTCGCTTGCCGGCCGCTTGGTCGCCGCCGCCGCCGCCGCCACCCCGTTCTTCGCGCGAGAGGAGGGCCACCTCCTCCTTGAGCCTCCGGATCTCGGCCGCCATCTCGCGCAGCTCCTCCTCCTGCGAGGCGATCTCGTCCTTCATCGCCTGCGGCACCACGCTCAGCACGTGCATCTGCTGCTGCTGCTGCTGCTTATGCTGCTGGTGAAGTTGAAGCTGTTGCTGCTCGCGCTCGCGGCCCGCGGCCAGTTCGAGCGCCAGTTCGCGTTCGCGCTGCCGAAGGTCGTCGCTGATGGTGCGTGCCAGGACCGCGGGCGGTGGTGAGGCGGTTGCGGCGGCCGTCGGTCGCTTCTCGCCCTTCCTGCCGCCGCCCCCGACTCCCTTGGCCTTCTCCTGGTCCTTTCTCTTCTTCTTTTCCTTTTCCTTCTCTTTCTTCCTCTTTTCCTTCTTCGTCTTGTTGTCGCTCGGCTCGTCGTTGTCGTGGTCGTCGTGGTCGTGCTGATGACGATGATGAATCTTGTCCTCCTTGTCCCGCTTGACCTTGCCGCTGCTCGACTTGCTCTTCCGCCCGCTCTGCTTCTTAAGCAGATGCTGCTTCTTCGTCGCTGTCGTCGGCTTCACCAGCTTGTCGCGCTTCTCGACGTCGATCTCGTCGTGGCCGTGGTCGTTGGTGGCGGTGTTGTCGCCGGCCTTGCGACGCCGCGGGCTCAGCGAAAACATGCCGCTCTTCGACATCGAACGCTTCTCGCCGCCGGCGCTGTGTTGGTGGTTGGCCTTCTCCTTCTTCTCCTCCTTGACGAGTCGCTTCTTGTTGTCGTGCTCGTCGCCGCCGGCGCTGGTGAAGAGCTTGTGCAGCAGACCGTCGAGCCGCCCGGCCTTCTTCGGCAGCGCCGCCGCCGATTTGCTGTCGTTGCGCCGCTTAGCCACGGGCGTCGTGGTCTTCTGGGACTCCTTCTGCAGCTTGGTCAGGTCGTACTTGATGGCCGGGATGCGCGAGCTGCGGGCCGCGTGGCGCCGCTGACGTGGCACGCGGTCATCATGGTACAGCCCGCCGCCGGCGCTGCTGCTGTCCTCGTCGTCGTAGGTGTCGACGACGTCGACAGACGAGTCGGCCACGCCGTGTCGGGCCAGGGACCGGCGGTGGTGGTTGGGGCGCCAGTCGGGCATGAGCTCCGGCGGCGGGCGTTCCTCCTGCAGCGTGAGACGCCGGTCGCTCCCCTCGCTGGCGGCCGCGGCGGTGAGCTTATCGGGCTTGGCCCCGGCGTTGAGGTGCATCGAGCGCGGGCGCGGGTGGTGCTGGCGGTGACGACGAAGAGAGCGCGGCCCAAAATAGTCGCTGCTCTCGCTCTCGGTGGTGGTGCAGGTGGTGCTGGAGGTGGTCACCGGCCGCACGGCCTCGTCGCTGCTGTTGCTGCTGCTGGCGGTGGTCGTGGTGTCGCTGTCGTCGAGGCTGTCGCTGTCGCTATCAATGTCGACAAGCGTTTTCTTCGTTCGGCCGATCCGATCCACGTCGCGCCTTTCCACCGAAAAGCTGTTGCTCTTCCCGCCGACGCCGCCGATCTTGGCCCTCAGCCTGCTCACTCCGCTCTGCTTCTTTCTGTTGGCGGTCGTCGCAGTCGCGGCCGTGGCGCCGGTGGTGCCGGTCGCGTGGTGGTGGTGACTCAGGCTGAAGCCGGTGTTGGTGATGAAGGCCCGCACGCTCCGGCGGCGGTTCTTTTTGACGGTGGCGGCAGCGGCGGCCTCGGCGGCCAGGGCCTCGGCGACCTCGTCGGTGTCGAGCAGCTGGCTTCGCCGCCGGCGCTCGCTCGAGAGGCTCAGGTCGTGGTCGAGCAGCAACTGGGCACCGCGGCTGGCGAGCGGCTGGCGCCGGTACTTCGGCCGAATCTCGTCGCGTAGCAACTGGGGCCTTTCGGTCGAACCGCCGTTGACTTCCGACGACGACCGCGTGCGCCAATGGCGCTCGATCTCGGCCTCGCTGTCGCTCCCGCCCTCGCCGCGCCCGCGACTCCGCCGCATCTTGATCACCGCCGCCCGCATCCGCTGCCGCTCGGCTTCGTCTTCGCTGTCGTCGTCGTCGCTGTCGCTTTCGCTATCGTCGCTGGTGGTGGCGATCTCCTTGCCCTTGGGCTCACCAGTGGTGCTGGCGCCGCTGTTGGCCGAGCTCATGCCACCACCGCCTCCGCCCTCCCCGCTCCGCCGGCTGCTGTTGGAGTTGATGGCCTCCCGCATCTTCTGCACCAGCTCCGTCACCTTGGTCTCGAACAGCATCGCCTGCGCCTTGGCCTCTTCGTCGACGTCATCGCTGCCAAGATCCTTCACCTCCTGCTTCTTCGCCTCGGCACCACCAGTGGTGGCGGCTGTGGCGGTGGTTGGGGGCCTTCGCGGGGGGATTGGTGGAAGCTCCCGCCGGGGCACTGGCCGCTTCCCGATTGTGGAGCCCGACGATGACGATGACGACGACGACGATGATGACGGTATTGAGGCGCTGGTCGGCAGGGCGGTGGCCGAAGGGGTGCGCGAGGTCGTGTTGCTGGTGGGCACTCGCTTGTCCTGGTCCTTGTCTGGGTTGGTAATGGTGGTGCTGGTGGTGGCCGCGGCGGTGGCTGCGGGCCGAACGACCGACGCCATTTCGGTGGGTGAGGCACGAGGGACCGGCTCCGACACGGTAAGTACCTTCGATACCACCGGCGCCGAGACCACCCTCATGGCCGCCGCCGCCGGAACCGCCGGCTCTGCTGCTGTCGACACTGTAGGTGCCGCCGTCTTGGGCTCTGTCGACACCGCCGTCGGCGGGCTGGCCACCAGCGGCGCACGCGAGGGAATGATTCGATCAGACGGACGTGACGAAGAATGGCTTGCGGATGACATCATCGTCGGTGGCGCGGGCGGCGCGGGCATAGTGGGTCCGGGCGGGATCAGAGTGGCGGTGATGGCTCGCACGCGGCCGCCTACGAGGGGCGAGTCCGGCATGCTCCACGCTCGGGCGGGGGGCACGGTCGGCGAGGCCGGGGCCGCGAAGGAGGGCGGCCGGTGGAAGAACGAGGTCGGCAACCGGGCGGGCGTGTAGGCCGACGGCGAGGGCGAGCGATACGGCGACGACGGCGACCGCGATCTCGGCCTCACCACGGATGATGATGAAGAAGAAGCCGCCAACGCCATCGATGATGAAGATGACGAGGATAATGATGAAGACGGAGTTGATGTCGAAGTAGATTGTGGAGGAGTGGCCGGCCTCGGGTCGGTGGCTGCGCTGGTCGCGCTTGGAGGGGCTGGCGCCGTAGAGAAGTTCGCCGCTGGCGCTGGCGCTGGGGCTGATCCTGCTTGGCCAAGAGTGAGAGTGAGAGTGAGCCACCAACAGATGAATGTGAGGAATGTAAAGTGGGCGTATGGCGTTTGCAATACCGGTGGTGGGCTGGAACATCTGCATGGTGCGCCGGAAGGAGAACGCGCGATCGCGCAGGAAGAGCTTGCGATTCTCTCCGTCGGCGTCCAACACCTCGATCACCTCGCCCTCGAGCTCTTCTCCGGCACCACCCGCCTGTTGCTGCGCTGCCGCCGCGGCGGTGTGGTGCTGAACGTTCGTCGCGGCCGATACCACCGCCGGTGGCGGCGGTGGTGGTGTGGGCGCGCGGACAGCCACCAGGGGCTGAGGCGGCGGCTCAGGTACTCCATGCATTCGCTCCTTCCCCTTCTCTTCCGTCTCGTTCCTTTGTCTTCGCTCTTCGTCGGCCTCTTTCTCTTTCTCTCTTTGTGTGTGACTGTCGCTTTCGCTCTTCTTCGCCCGTTCGTCGCCGACCGCGGCGTTAGATGTCGTCGCTGGCGGCTGCGGCGGCGTGTGCGCTCGCCCGGCGTGACCACGCTCGAACTCGCCTTGGCTGAGGTGCCCCTTGAGGGCGATCACCTTCTCCAGTCGTCCCTGCACCTCCTCCTTCATCCGCTGCTGGATCCGATCCGGGCTGCCCTCCCACCAATCGCCACCTGCTGCTGCTGGCACCGCATCGAGGTCCTCCTGCGCGTCGCCGTCCTTCGCTTCCTCCTTGGCCTTGGCCACCACTCCTTCTTTCTCTTCGTTGTTGTCGTCGTCGTCGTCATCGCTGTCGTCTTCGTCTGCTGTGCTGAGGTCGAGGTCCACCCGCTCGATGATGTCGCTCTTCCGCGAGGGAAACGATATGTTCAGCGGCGCCACACTGCCGGAGGTCCGTCGGGCGAGCAGGAGCTCTTCGACCGGGTCCGCTGATAAAGAGAGAAGCGAAAGGGGGGGGGATAAGAAAAAGAACGAAGTGAAAGCGGCGCTGCCTTCATAGCGAGAAGATGCTGAAAAAAAATCAAAATAAAAGGAGGCAATAATGATATCATTTTCTAATACTAATACAATACCAGGGTGAGGTCGCCCCTCCATAGAGCGGCAAGCCTTGACAGTCAATATAGGGGACACCAGTACCGGTGCATGTCTTCGCGTGCGCACTGTGAAGTTCCTTTTTGATATTTGAATTTTTAATTTTGGGTGCACCAGGTTTAAATCCGGTCAAACTCGACGAAAAAAGGTCAAGTGTGCAGTGCCAGCGGACACACCGGGCCGAGGAGCATGTGCTACCCGGCGATGAAGAGGGAAGAGATGAAGGGGTATGAGGGGAGGAGGGACTCACCTTTGGAGAGGGTGGCCTTCAGGGCCTTGGCTTTGAGGAGGAGCTTCTTGCGGGTGCCGGGCTTGGTGATGTTGAGAACGTTGAGATCGTCCGCGGTAAGCTCGGCCACCACCCCGATGTCGTCGTAGCCCTCCGCCTCGAAGACCGCCTTGTACTCGCCCAGGCCGATTACATCCAACCACTCGCCCACCTCTAACTGCTCATGTTGTGTTGCTGCTGATGCCATGGCGCTCCTGGCCTTCCTGAGGAGTTCTACTCACTTGATGGTGTTGTGCTACTCCTTGCTCTTGACTTGACTTGTCTTGTCTTGCTTGCTTGGTGGGTGGAGAAGAAGAAGAAGAACTGGCCTCCACTAAAGTCACAGGTCACTGGCAGAGATGGTAAGCAGATGAATAAAACAACTGCTGGTTGGCGAATGACAAGGTGCTCCAGACGCTTGCGTTGCACTGGAGGAGCTGTAATGTGTAATGTGAGGCGAACTCCACCCGCGAGGGACTGCTTGCAGGGCGAGCACGAACCAGAAAAACAGGAGAAACCGAGAGCCGGCTGTAGTCTGCTCACACGAGCCGGAGAGCAGAAGCCGCGAGCCGCGCCATTGCAAGCACAGCGGAAGGGGCACACTGCGCGAAAGCCAGGCGAAAAAAGATGGAGGCGACGAAGACTGCCGGTTCGAGCCCCACCGCGAGCAAGAAAGAAAAGATAGCAAGATCGAAAGCGACGATGGGGACGAAATGGGGAGGGGCAAGCGATTGGATGGATGGAATGATGGATGAGGGGGGAAATGTAGACATTTTTGGCCGATTCTTCTTGAGCAACGTCAATACGTACAAAGGTGGGAAGTAGAATTACACTGACATTACACAATCAGGAGAGGAGGAATACAGATGGAAGGGAGGCGTAGAGGCTGGTGGTGGCGAGTACGAGTGATGTATAGAATGGATTCAGTAGGCGTGAGGAGGCGGGATGACGATCTTCTTACGGGTCGTCGCGGTGCTCGACTGATTCTTACCCAGAGCGATCCAAGGATGCGAGCCCGGGCCTGCTGTGGGAAGAGCCTGCTGCGTCTTGGGATTCGAGTTTTCCTGCAGTTGACGCTGCGCGAAGACTTCGGCATCGACGCCGGGTCGATTCTGGCCGGGGGCGGGCATACGGCTCATGGCCGCCCTCGCCGCATCCTTGTTAATGCGCGAGGAATCCACGCCATTCTGAGGGGTGCTCATCTCCTTCAACAATGCAGGATGATTGATCCGTGGTCGTGTTGGTGGCGTCAAGTTACACCCCAAGTATGCCAAGAATGAGCGCACAGCAACGGAACTGGGAAAAATCCGGCCTTTCTTCAATAAATAAAAATGATAAAAAACAAGGGACCAGGAGAGAACCTCACCAAGAACCTCACGCGAACCTCAGCACAATGCCACGTCTGCCAAAGAAGGAGAAGATTGAGCCTGCCTCAAGCAACGTCGGCACGGTGTGGAGCGAGAATGCACCTATCAAGAGTGAGAACGCACCCATCAAGGGTGAGAACGCTCTGGGCAAGAGTGAGAACGCACCTATCAAGAGTGAGAACGCTCTGGGCAACGAGAAGAAGCAGAAGAGGAAGAGGAAGAGGACGAGGACGAGGAAGGCTCGCGGCAGGAAGAATGCTGTGGCTGAGGGCGAGGAGGTCGGCATAAAGGGGGAAGAAGAGCAGAGGAAGAAGCAGAGGACTCTGTGGAGCGAGAATGCACCTATCAAGAGTGAGAACGCTCTGGGCAAGAGTGAGAAGAAGCAGAAGAAGAAGAGGAAGAATGCTGTGGCTGAGGGCGAGGAGGTCGGCATAAAGGGGGAAGAAAAGCAAAAGAGGAAGAGGAGGAGGAAGCAGAAGAAGCAGAGGACTCTGTGGAGCGAGAATGCACCCATCAAGAGTGAGAACACTCTGGGCAAGAGCGAGAACACGCCTATCAAGAGTGAGAATGCTCTGGGCAAGAGCGAGAAGAAGCAGAGGAAGAAGAGGAAGAATGCTGTGGCTGAGGGCGAGGAGGTCGGCATAAAGGGGGAGGAAAAGCAGAAGCAGAAGAGGAAGAGGAAGTTCCGAGACCGTCGCGGCAGGAAGCCTCTGAACTGCTTCTTTTTCTTTGGTACGTTATCGCGCCCACCCGAGGTCCCATGTTTGTTTGCTAAGAGCACAACAAACCTTGCGTGCACAGTCATTCACAACAGGGCGGGGGTGTGGGCCGATAACCCCACTGTGAAGCGCCCAACCATCGCCAAGATCCTCGGTGCGATGTGGCGTGCGCTACCTGATGACGAGAAGGAGCCCTACATCACCATGGCCTACAAGGACAGGCAGCGCTACGCGGAGGAGCAGGCGGCGGCGGCGGCGGCGGCGGTGGTGGCGGCGGCAGCAGCAAAACCTGTCTGCGACGCTGTCAAAGCAGAGCCCAAGTGACGCTGCATCACCGTACTTGTACAGAAGAAGAAGAAACGACACCACTTGTACAGAAGGCTTGTAGCTCGTTGCACATCAGCTTTAGTGAGAAAAAGAAGAGGAGGCTGTGACAATGCAACGTGCTTTTACATGTAGGAGTAGAGAGGGCCACCGCTCTCGGGCACCACCCAGTTGATGTTCTGCGTGGGGTCCTTGATGTCGCACGTCTTGCAGTGCACGCAGTTCTGGTAGTTGATCACCAGCTTGCTGTCTACATACTCGTATACTCCCGCAGGGCAATACCGACTCTCGGGCGCAGCATACACTGTGCAGTTCAGTGCAACCACAGTCATGTCAGCCATCACAGCACCTTTCATCATCATCATCATACTTGGTAATAATGGTGAGTGGTGCGTTACCTGGAAGATTGATCTTCTCGGGCACAGTGGAGTCCTTGAGAGTGAGGTGGCACAGCTGGTCGTGGCCGTGGTTGGTGCCGCTCCTGGCGACGTTCTCGAGCAGGTTGAAGCTCAGCTTGCCGTCCGGCGCCGGGTACTCGATGGGCTTGCACTCCTTGGCGGGCTTGGTGGCCTCGTGGTCGGGCTTGTGGTGGTTGAGCGTCCAGGGCGCGTTTCCGCGGAAAACGTAGGTGTCGACGGCCGACAGCGCCAGGCCGGGCACCAAGCCCTTGGCCATGTACGGCCTGATATTGCGCACCTGTCCATCACCACCACCACCATCACCAGCGATTCTTGTGGGTAAGCACGCGTCACCGCACGCACGACACGCGCGACACATACCTTGTGGAGGTCCTCCCAGAGCCACGAGGACTTGATGCGGTCGGGGTAGGCCTTGGGGTCGATCGTGTGCTCCTCCTGGTCCAGCGCCTCGAACACCGTCTCAGCCGCCACCATTCCTGGAATGCCAAGCCAGCAACATATCCCTCTGACGTCAGCAGCTGGCTAAACTCAAAGAGAGAGCCAAGGCGACCCGGGCCCGTACCGGACTTCATGGCGTTGTGGGAGCCCTTGATCTTGGGCAGGTTGATGAAGCCGGCCGAGTCGCCGAGGAGGAGACCACCGGGGAACGCGAGGCGAGGGACGGACTGGATGCCGCCCTCCACCAGCGCGCGGGCGCCGTACGAGATGCACTGGCCGCCCTCGAACGTGTCCTTCACGAACGGGTGGTGCTTCCACCTCTATGTACGCACCATCATCAATAAATAAAAATATAATATAATATAACATAATTTTAGAATAATTAAATTTTAATTTGTAATATAAATACGAATCATTTGCGCGTACGACGTAGAGGGCAACGCACCTGGAACTCGCGGTAGGGGTTGAGGTAGGGGTTGGTGTAGTCGAGACCCACGACGTAGCCCACGGCGACGTAGTTGTTCTCCAGGTGGTACAGGAACGAGCCGCCGTAGGTCGAGAAGTCCATCGGCCAGCCTGCGGCATGCGACGTCAGTACACGCCATGCGTGCGCTGTGACGTTGTGTGTGTCGTTGTGTGTGTGTGTGTCGTGTCGTGTGTGTGTGTCGTGTCGTGTGTGTGTGTCGTGTGTGTGGTGAAAGGCGATAGAACCAATGGTGTGGACGATTTTGCCGGGCTTGTGCTTCTTGGGGTCGACTTGCCACAGCTCCTTGATGCCCAGTCCTGAAGTGTCAAGGTGCGTGTGCGGTGTCAGACCAGCCACGCAAAGACGCGCGCGTTCAGGTGTGGGGCGCAGACAAGCGTACCGTAGGTCTGGAAGCCGGCCATCGACTCCTTCCAGAGGCCGAGCTTCTTGTCCACGCTCTTGGTGAGCGAGCCGCGGCAGCCCTCGCCGAACATCGTCACTCGCGCGTGCAGCTCAAAGCCGCGCGTGAACGAGTCCTTGGGCTCGCCGGTCTTGGACACGCCCATGTCGACCGTGGCCACGCCCTTGACGCTGCCGTCCTCGTTGTAAAGGACCTGTACGCCAACGCGAGTGCACCCTTAGAAGAAGAAGAAGAAGAAGACGACGACGACGACGAGAGTTAGGCGTAGGGAGTAGGTACCTCGGCGGCGGGGGTGGCTGGGTAGATCTCGACGCCCAGCTCAGTGGCCTGCTCGCCCAGCCATCGCACCACGTTGCCCAGGCTCACAACGTAGTTGCCCTGTAGCGTTTAAGAATTTATATATTATGATTATTTTTATTGTGATTACGAGTATTCGTAATTTTGTTATAATTATAATAAAATAATAGTAAATCGTTACCTTGTTGTGCATCTGGGGAGGGGTAGGGAGCCGGACGTGGAAGCCCTCGCCCAGGAACACGAAGTGGTCTTCGGTGGCCTCGGTGTAGATGGGCGCCTGCACGCACGGTCGAATCGCCAGAGAAGCGGAAAGTTTAAGGTGATGGTGCGCACAAGACCCACACAAGAGGGGAGACGCACGCCCTTGTCCTTCCAGTAGGGGATGAGCTCGTTGAGGGCCCGCGGCTCGATCACAGCGCCGGACAGAGTGTGCGCGCCTGGACGCCAGTGAGATGGCATTGCCGTGTGTTGTGAGTGTGGTGTGGGGGTGTGGTGCGGCGCGGTGCGGCGCGGTGCGGTGCGGTGCGGTGCGGTGCGGTGCGGTGCGGTGCGGTGCGGTGCGGTGCGGTGCGGTGCTTTCCACTAAAAAGAAACGTACCGACTTCAGCGCCCTTCTCGAGCACCACGACGCGAATCTCCTTGCCCTGCTCGTTGGCCAGCTGCTTAAGCCTGATGGCCGCCGAGAGACCGGCGGGACCAGCGCCGATGATGAGCACGTCGACGTTGTCCGACTCACGCGGCTGCTTACGAGGATCGTCGTCCTCTGCACACACGACACACACGCGACACCACACACACACACACACACAAGACACAAGCGTGAGCCACGCGATGTTGGCCGCACACGGAAAGAAGGTGGGTGGTGGAGCGTACGGCGGAGGGAAGGCGAAGTGCGGAAGGACCGGAGCGAGGAGGTTATCGGAGCGCGGGGCAGCAGGGAGGAGGACTGCACCTGCGCGGTGCGGGCGAGGTGGAGGTGGCGCGAGGAGACGCGAACGCCCAACGCCGCGGCCGAAGCCGAGGGCGAAAGGCGAGCAGACAGACGCTTCATTGTGTGTGTACTGAAGGACGGAGTGCACGGAACTCAGAGTTAGCTGGTCTGATGGTGATGTGCGTTTGTGAGAATGGGAATTAGATGCACGTGCTTGTGATGAATACTCGAAAACAAGAATGAGATGAGCAGTGCTACACAAATCGCGAGTAATCAATCTCCAACAATTCGGGGGAAGAATGTGATTCCCATCCCGGCGCACTGGCAATCAAAATAAATCACAATAATCCAGCGCGCGCTTGGTTAGGGGCTCGTTGAAGTTGGCTCCAATGCCCAATATCTCGTTAATTATGAAATAAGTAATGAAAATGAATCTTCTTGGCTTGTAAGGTCCCGAACGTACCTCGTGTGCGCAGGCTCAACTCTAAGAAAGCAGCAAAGGCGGTGGGCAGATGACAGAAGCGGTGCACTCACACACTCGGGATCTTGGAAGTGATGATTGTGTTTTTAGTCTTTATTCTCGACGGCGGTTATCCCAGCCTATCTGCCATACCGCATGAAATTTCCCTTCGAGCTGGCGATTAATCTGCCGGAAATCTCCTGGGCGAAGAAAAAGAAAAAGAAATGAAACGAGAAAACGGGGACTGTGCTGCAGCTTTTGAGCGGAGAAGAAAAGAGGAAGGAGAAGCGCACAGACGAAAAGATGGAAGTTGATCGGACGTTGCAGGTCGTCAAGGGAGGAGGACATAAGAAGAGGCCTCGAAGTGAGCTGCAGGCCGTAGACGCCGGGGCCGCTCCGGCGACGACCAACGCTCAGCAAAACAAGAAAGACAAAGGCAACAAGCGCCGGAAGACCGGAGGCAAGAAGGGAAGCAGCAAAAAGGCAGATGCGAAGCAGGACAAGCTCAAGGTCGGCGGCGGACTGGAGTTGTTGGACGCCGAGCTCCTCGGAGCCGAGGAGCAGGCCACCTTCTTCCAGGCCCAGTACCGCACCGCCGACCCCACCCTCATCATCTCCGCCGGCCAGGCCCTGCCCTTGGGTACCCCCAAAAATCAAATCTCAAGAGATTATTTTATTATATATTTTATTAATATAAATAATTGAATATTAATTACTTTATATTCAAATATCACATAAATAAAATTAAAACTAATTTGTGGTGGCGCAGCTGGACACTTTGCGGTGAGTTCGATACAGAGCGGGGGCAAGAGGGACGTGAACACGGAGCTGAAGCCGTGGCTTCAGGACATCTGCGGCGACCAGTGGCAGCAGCTGCTGGCTGGCCCGCCGGCCGCGGCCGCTAAGGCCAAGCCCGATGGCGGCAAGCCCGGCGGCAGGCGAAGAGGCCGCAAGCCCAAATCGCAACAGGTGGCGGCGAACGAGGCGGAAGACAAGGGCGCGCCCTCTGTCATCATCATCACCTCCTCAGGCCAGCGAGCATGCGACGTCTTCAAGTACGTTCGTGTCTTGTGTCGTGTGCTGTGTGTCGTGTCGTGTGGTGTCGTGTGTGTCGCGTGTGCTAAGATGTGATGATGCACTACAGAGCGCTGGCCGAGTTCCACAAGTCGGTCAAGGTGATGAAGCTCTTCTCCAAGATCAAGCTGGCGGAACAGGTGGAGATGCTCAACTCGAGCCCCGTCCGCATTGCCGTCGGCACCCCACACCGACTCGCCGTATGCCCTCTTCCCCTTCTTTTCAACAACTACCAAGCATTCCAAACAACGCTCAATAATCCTCGCTTTGGTGTGTCGTGTGCGTGCGGTCGTGTGTGTGTGTGTGTGTGTTGCGATCTTGGACGCTGTGCAGGAGCTGTGCCGAAACGGTGCGCTCAAGCTGCATCGATTGCAGTTCGTCGTGGTGGACATGTGGAAGAACGTCAAGGGCATCTCGCTCCTCGTACGCGGCGCGGAGGTATGCGCAAACCCCATTGTGGCACCAAGTGTTCACTTTAGGCTTTGTCTCGTTTCTGACACTCACGCCCGACCGATTGTACCTTTTCCCTCCTCCCTCTCAGATCCAGACCGACCTGTACAAGCTCTACTTCGAGTTCTTCAACGAGCGCGTGCAGAAGGAGGAGACCCGACTCGCCCTGTTCTAGCTCTCGAGCCTCGCCGCCAACGTCGAATACTATTTTTATTTCAAACGTCGCCTTGTGAAGTGATGAGTTAGTGATGTGCGGGTAGTGTGCCAATTCCCAACCACGGCGGCCGGGCGTGTGGCGGTGACGGGACGGGGCTTCGGGTTGGGCGAAGGCGCCCCAGACACGGCCCAAGCGCAACCTCCGGTACTTCGTTGTCCCCTGGGGACCCAGAGTTGGAATGTGAAATATGTGAGGCCACCAGACTGTAGCGTGGTTGGCATTCCGGCTCAGTTGCCACACCTCTTCGCATGCGAGTTGTTCCCGTACCGTGAGGGTCCGTGGCCACCTGGTGTGTAGGTTGTGTTGAGTTGGGCTTGCGTCTTGTTCTCTCCTTTCTCCTTCACTTCGACCGGTGCAAGCTGATGCCTCGCCAACACAACAGGACCTTCATCTTTCTGCTCGTGGCAGTGGCCTTGTCGCTCACATCAGCCCACGCCGAAGGTACGCCCCCCCCCGCCAATACGCTTCATTTTACTACTTCGTCTTCGTTCTTTTATTTATTTTTTTCAGTCATCGATGGAGTGACCACCCAGTGGTGTACCCAACTCAACCTGTCTCCGGACGCCAACAACACCATCGTCCTAGGCAGCTCACTCTCGAGTACGTTGCCCTTCATTTGAACTTTAATACTATTATTTGAATTTAAATACCAAAAAACAATAATAACAAAAGCTGCCACAGTTTCGTTTGGTTTAGTGCCGTGCGTGACCAACAAGAGCGTCACCTTCCTGGGCACCAGCCCAACGGCCACCAAAGTCTCGACCGGCATTCTCAGCCTCAAGACCTCCGGCTACGTTCAGATCCAAGGTACTGTCGTGTGGTCATGTGTGCGGTCCTGCGTGTGGGTGTGTGTGTGCGTGTGCGTGTGCGTGTGTGCGTTGCTCATCGGCCTTGTGACAGACGTCACCTTCAGTTCGGCGTCGGTCACGATCGAGAACGCTGCCCAGCTCACCCTGACCAACGTCCAGCTGGTCTCCGTCTCGTTCCTGTCCGATGCCGCGCTCACTCTGCGGAATGTCAACCACGCCGAGCTGGCCTCGGTCACGGTCGCCCGCAACCGGGCCTCGGTGGCGCCCGTCGCCCTCCAATCGTGCGCGAGCGTGATCGTGCGCGATTCGAGCTTTGCCGGCAACGACGCCGGCTCGGTCGGGGCCATCAGCGCCGTCGACGTCGGACTGCTCACCATGGCCGACTCGAGCTTCGCCCACAACTCGGGCGGCGCGCTGGCCCACGTCATCAACGCGAGCGACACGCACGTCGCGCTGGCCCGCTGCACGCTGGTGTCGAACGGCGGCCTGCTCGCAACCGACCGCGATCTGGTGGCGGTGTCGGGCGGCAGCCTGGCGATGGACGCGTCGCAGGTGAGCCTCAACTGGGGCGCCACCGTGGCGCTGCGCGGTCTGGTCGCGGCGTCCAACGTGACGGGCTCGTCGTTCGAGCTCAACTTCAACCCGCGCCAGCGGTCGCTGATCGACGTCGACGGCTGCGCGGGCGGGCTCACCATCGCGCGCTCCACGATCTCCTACAATCTCGGTACCAGCGCGAGTCTCTTGCGTCTTCTCGATGATGGCTAACGCCGCACACGCACACGCGCAACCGCACACGCACACACGTACACGGGTGACTGGGCGATGGCCAGGCGGTGGGCTGTCGGTGCAGGACTGCGCGGTGGGGGTGGACCAGACCAAGGTGTGGGCGCAGGGCAGCTTCGGGATGGCTTGCGGGGACCAGGGCTCCATCAACGCGCCCTCCACGTCCGTCTACAAGTGCGCGCAGAAAATGCACACGCACACGCACACGC